AATCATTCATACCCCTTGACCGATATGCATCCATATTTTATCAACCTTCCTAGGAAAAATACAAATTGAATGTTGGTTGCATTTGAACCAAACAAAAATTTTGAAAACATACTAGAATAAATATTTCAAATGTTGATAGCAGGACCTTTAAAATTACAAATAAATGAAAATATAAAGATACATGTGTAAAACACTAAAAAAATAAAAATATAAAAACCAATAACTGGGTATGAAAGTTAGGGTGCAACTATGCAGATGCAAATTTAGAGCGAGCGAGAGGCTGCAAAGCGATTTAGTTTTTGCAAAGGAAAACCACGCACAAACAAGAAGCGAGAAATAACGCTAGCGAGAGCGAATTTCTGGTTCTCGCACATATCTGACAGGTTTTGATATTTATCATGTCTCGCCTCTTCTCGCTCGCTTGCAACTGCATAGTCGCACCCTTACTCCCAATGCACATGCTACAAGTCTGTATAGTGTCACTTGGCATAAATTTCAAATTTAGGTTACATCAGTTCTCATCTTGTTCTGCAAGACCAAGGTTTAAGTCTGATGTTTATTTCAAGGGAAATTTTTAAATGACGTATGTGGAGATGTTACACATCTATATAACACTACTATTACCTATTACAATATCTTATTCTTTATAAATTTTTAGTAGTAAGTGATCCAAGTGGGTCAAGGGTGGTAGTTTTTTAAATAATTTTAAGTGTTAACTTTTCATTTTAACAAATATGAACGATATTTAAAAATTATATTTGTCTCCTTGTCTAATATTTCAAATTATTCATATAAAAATCATCAGAAATGGTAGTACTTAATTCCATCATTGCAATTTAATTATATATATTTTGTATGTTAGGATAGTACTGTATAAGTTGCTGCTACAATTCCTTAATTTCTGACATGAATTAACTTAACCCTGTTTAACTTCAAAATGCACAGCCAAATAATTGTTACTAAATATTTCTATAATTAAAATTATTTAATCCAATTTCAAAGCAAATTAAAATTTTGATGAATGGTTTAAGATATTTATATTTTACAGATGCAGTTACAACTTATTTTCAACTGTTAATGTAACTGGCATAACAGACAGTACATATAAATATTTCAATTCACTGATTATTGATTAGGCTTCCTTACTCTACACATCCAAAAACTTTGAATCTGATTTAGCAGGGGATTCATTTTTCTCAACTTGCTATTTGACTAACATTTTTCTTTAGAAAATCCCATTCTTTGTATCAATTTAATGTTTCAATAGAAAACAGTGGAAATTTTGAAGGTCAATTCAAAAAAGAATGATCTTTCAAAAAGCAAAGCATAACAATATACCATATTTCTTCTTTTCTAAATGCATTGTTACTTCTACAAAATAAAGATTCATCTTAAATTAACATATACTGTTCAAAAATGGCATTCAGCAGTCAAGATTGAATGCTTGGTGCCTAATGCATTTACTTTATGCAATAATAGATAATTTTGGCCAAACTATAGTCATGTTAGTTTAACCTGTCATGTGTTGTTCCCAAAAATTTTTGTGTTGACCTCATTGACCTGCGTGGGCAATCCCGAATATTCTCATGTCTGCATCGAAACGTTTTTGATACTAGATGTCGCTATGCATCACAATTTTTATATTAAAACGAACTTTTAAAATATAATTTTTTTTTGTTTTTATATTTTTCAATATATTTATTTTGTTTGTGCAATGTAAAAAAATAATTTTTAATGACAGAGTAAACATGATTATTATATTAAAAAAAATTTTGTTAGGCTTAACATCGACGAAAATTCAACATGGCGTCACAGGCAACAAAGAAGAATTTCAACATCGAATAGGTTAAATAAGCATCATTGGTAACAATATTTAAATTCCTTTTGTAAAGTTTAAATCATCATCAGTATTATGTTATAGTGCAGAATTAAAAGTTATATTATATGCAAGCAGAAGAGCTCGGAAATACATCTGCCAAATATTGTTTAAGTACTGTACATTTATATAACAACATTTAACAAAATGATTTAAAAATTTTTCCATCCATAAAAAAATTTAAAATTGATTTCAAAATCATAATGCATCTTAAGCACTTACTATAAATCTAAAACAAAAATATAGTACATCAATAACTTAACTGTTGACTGGTTAATTTACATTAATACGAGTGTTCTGTCATATCATTTGGTCAAAATCATGTTTTCAAATAAATTCTCAAAGTTATTACTTAGTTAAGAATTCTATATAGTCAATTTCATTAGTTATGAAATTTAATTCAAAAAAATGAATCAAAATACTTGTCATCTTAAAGAACATTTACCATCTAAAATAGTCCTGCTTGTCTGTTAAACCATATGAAGAAAACCTTGCAAGTCGGACATAACATACAGGACATGTTTTTGTTGATGAATTACATATGCATATTAGGAATCTAATGCAAAATCTAAAGCAATAAAACATTTTTCTAAAAGAATATTAGAAAATTGTTGTTGCAGACATCTGCAATTGAATTTAATAGAGCACTGTATATTTTACAATTATACATATATAATTTATTTCTTGTTTCATATTAGCCCTAAAACATTTCATTCATACATTTAAACTCATTACTGAGTTTGATTTGTGTTATTTCCTTTGTGATAACTATCACAATATTCTTTTGAAAAACACTAAGAATTTCTAAAATTCTTAGTTCTATTCTAAAATTCTTCATACATCTGGAAAGAAATGGTGTAAAATTGACTGCCATTTGTACTCTCTCTTAGAGAAAAGATTAGTTTTACTTATTGGCTGTAATCTCAATAAGAAAAATTTATGAGGGCATTTCAGTTTTGAATAGGCAGTTTGGAATTTCACTATTCATAAAGTATGTGAATCATGTCAACTCAACCACTGAGACTATGAAATAATATCTGCAAGTAAAAAAACAGCAATATTTTCAATGATAAAAAGTTAAACATTGAAACTATTCAGTAAAGCTGCAATACTATAAATTTGTCATAAAAATTAAATTTTGTCGTTTTTCCTGATGTATCTTGCTTGATTCGTATTTACAAATTAGTAAAATCTCATGAAACATGACTGAACACACAGTGAAGCATCATTTTTGTTTGTGTGCATACAATTCTTTGAATATTGTGTGCAAAGCCATCACATAGCTAAATACTTCATCATAGAATAATACAAGGATATCAATGCTACATAAATAACTTATTATTAAATAACTCTTGTGGAAGCATTTCAAAAATATATGAAATATAGTGGACTTTCAAAAACTACTTTTAAAATCCTTTTTTTTTTTTAATGCTTTTTAATCTCATATTCAAACATTGCTGTATATATATACAGCAATGTTTTAATTCAACTGGTTATTATAAAATTTGTCATGTATCATCCACTTTTATACAATTCCTTTACACTGTCATGAATGTAAATTTGTCTTTAATATTAAAATGGCATTATTAAACATAACAATTTTGCATTCTCGTCTGAGATACATTACTTTTTACAATTATAATTTGAAACTAAACTATATTTGGATAATCATTTTTCATCTTATCATCACATTTCCTATTAAAAAATCCATTCTTTCAACATAACATTTTTAATAAATAAAATGTTTGGTTTATGAAGCATCTTCAAGGGTTGTTCTTACTAGAAGCAAATTAAGTCAAAAATTTATTGTTTAAATAGTTTTAAAAATTTTTGGTAAATATTCTTAGGATATTTATAATTTTAATTTTTAAATTCTGAACATTGATGGTTAAGTATTCTAAAACCAATTATTACTGTATATTTAAAATAAGTGTGTAAATGTTAACACAATGTGCATACATTTGTAGTGTTTGCATCTATACATTGATTTAAAAATCAGTACAAAAATTATATAAATATTTAGCATAATTACAACAGTATTTTTTAATTAAATTAATGAAAAATCCTTTTACAAAGTAACAAAGGGTGACACAATATGAATATTTTGTACTTTAATTGTACATTATATTCATTTATTTTTAATTGTGTTGAATTTTATATTTCCATTTTAAAAATATTATAAAACTTGATGGTGCCTAAAAATGTTTCTAAATTAATTAAGCCAAATTTATTCTATAAGGGATTTGTTATACTTCTAAAAAATTGTTTCAAAATGATTAATAATTATGAAAAATTTCAGTTGAAAGTCTCCACGTTTTCTCAATTTAAAATTTTTTTACTTAACGATTTAATCAGATTTTGAACAAACTGAATTTGTCTTAATTAAAAATGAAAAACCAAAGTGTAACCAATAATATATAACGGCCAATTTAACATGTATTTCGAATGAACGAACAAAGAAAAAACTGATCTCAATCAGTTTTTAAGCAGAAACTGACTCAAGGTGAACCACTTTCTCTCAGACAAGTCTACCTTTTTCCTTCATCTAAAGTTCTACTTTCTAACCTATTATATAAAACCTAAAATTAAGTTTATTTAGAAATTTATATTCAAATTTAATTACAAAGTGACCAAAACCAGAAATATTGCTTACATTTAATAAGCACACTTTAAATAATTTAAGCCAAAACACAAAGGCGATCATTTTAAATTCGCAAAAATAACTTTTCAAATTAATAAATTTGAATCTCGGAAACCTTTTCGGAGCAAAAACGTTAAAATTCTACCAATCCGCCGAATGAGCAATTACACCGTAGAGCATTGCTAATGGTTGGCACAAAGTAAACAAGAATGGTTATTTAAGCCAAACTATAAATAACGTTCGCGTAACCCATCGAAATTAAACGCGAATCTTTCGTTTCGGCACGTTTTTAATCATCTAGTTTGTAGATGTGAACGGATTAAAAACGTACCGCGTTTCATCAAACAAAGAAGCCGCCATTTTGCCCGCCATCTTTTTAATGGAGATCACCCTCCCCAGGTAAACGAAACCCGAGCTTTGTTTGAATGTATCTCACCGTGTTCAGCGGATATTACGTTCCCAACGACATGCTTTAAACTATACCTTTCATCATCACTACTTTTAGTTGTTTGACCATTTGTAGTTTCCGAGGTTTGCATTTCGTTTCCGCCATGTTGGTTAGAATCCACTCCTTCCATTCCTTCTGTCATTTCTCCATCTTGTTGAAACTGTTCTTGGTTATAATTTCCTTCGTTAAATTCCTCGTACTGCTGTTGATTTTGTTGGTTTTGTTGTTGCTGTTGATTTTGCTGGTTCTGCTGTTGCTGTTGGTTTTGCTGCTGCTGTTGCTGCTGTTGAGGTTGTTCAGTGTAACCACCGTCTACATACTGTTGCTGTTCTTCCGTCATTTTTTCGGCTAAATTTTAGATTGTAAGCACAACTCACGTTAGAACGTCTATGGCGAAAGGTTAGCGGCTACTGATGACGACATTTATATATATCAACGTCACGTGATTAAACCTGCTCTATTATTGGCTATTCCAACTGAAATTTCACGCTTCTTCGCTACGATTGGTGAAAATTTTACTAAAGATACTAGAGAGCGCTAGCTCTCTATAATTTTAGAAATATTTTTAAAAATAGCCAAATTTCCACGTTATATAAAATAATTTTTGTAAATTTTTATCCAGAGATTATTATAAACTTTATGACAATTTTATGGAAAAAGGTTAAAGAAATTCCTTATAAATTTTTTAAAAATTTTATATATTAACGATTACCGTATAATCTATCAAATAAGCGGTTTTTGAAAAAATTAAAAATCGTTAAAAAAGTCACTAGACATAAAAATGCTATCAAATGAATTGAATCTTCCTTTAGAGACATTTTAAAATAATAGCACAATTAATCAAATAGTAATTAAATAGTACAATTAATTCTGTATTAATCAAAACGAGTTTAGCTGTGCCATAAAAATTTTATAGCACTGGTGCCGCAAACACTGTTTAAACATGATTTTGAGTTTCATAAGTGTAGTGTTATAGGTGTAGTCAACCACAAATATTATTATAAATATATAAAACAAACAAAAGAAGAAATAAATGATGTAACTGATAACTGAAAATTTCTTTTTCCACTATGGCATAGGTTAGTAATAATACTTTTTAGATCTAACTCACTTTTCTTTTATTAATTACACTAACTTATTAATGTTTCGACATTCTCCTATCATGCTTAGCTCTTTTAAGTAAAAGTTATTTTTAGATATTTTATATACATCCTAGTAAGTAGCCCATCAAGAATGACGGATTATATACAGTCGACCCCCTATAATTATTGTCCCTATAATTACGATTCCTATAAAAATACGAAAAAATATACGTATTTTGGAAATGTTGAGTCGGATTAGTGTAGAATCGATTAATTTTATGAAAGAAAACCTTTCAATCAGCCGTAGTCCGTAAACTTGACACGTGTCGGGCTGTGATTGGAACGACTTGTAAGAAATCGGATTCCTAATAAATTGGAACGTATCTATATCTTATAGGGGGGTCGACTGTAATACAAGTATATGTAATCCAAGTATATATAATACAAGTATATATAATTTATATATATATATATATATATATATATATACATATATATACATATATATATTTTTAAAACTTTTGCGGATATTAAGAGGGTCATTTTAGCAAGTCTATTATGGATTCGGCCAGGCCCACGGATGGGAGGGATGCGGTCGACATATACAGAGTGACCACCGGTTCCATTCGATTTCCTCGAGCAGTAGGCTACCGCCTTATCCGCTCTAACAGCTATTACATCTAATGGATTTTGACGGCCGGATGGCCGAGCGGTTAAGGTGGCAGCCTACTGCTCTGGGGGACCCGGAATAGAATCCGTACAAGTCGAGGAATCCCCAGGGATTTTTCGGGGGGATATGTCGGACCCCATCCCTCACTTTTTTGTTTTTTTAACACTTTTCGCCCTACCCACAGGGCGGAAAGTGTTAAAAAAAAAAAAAAACAAAAACTACGAGTGTATTTTTAACAAGCCCATTAGTTCGGCCAGGCTCATAATGGGGCGACTGGGTGTTGAGAGACGGAGCTCGACATATCCGGTTGGTCCACCCCCGAAAAATTCCTGGGATGATTTGACCCGTCCGGTTTTGATCCCGGTTCCTCAGAGCGATAGGCCATCCGGCCTACGTCTCTCACTTACTGTATATCCGAACTACTGAATGAACCGGCTAGAATTGAAGTGTTTTAACTAATATCTCGAATTGACAAATTGTAGTTCACTGGCTGCGTTGTCCTTTCTCTGATGATATTTTAACACAAAAATATTTAGCTGGCGCTGGTACTGTACATGACAATACTAAAAACACGTACTGTACTTCGTTTGGAAAACGGCAGATTGCAGTCATGTGACAAAAAGACAATGTTAACTAAATTGTGATTGGTTAAAACGTAACAGCTATCGATAGCATGGAACCCAGACGCATCTCAATCGATTACCGGTAGCGAAACTCACTTAACGTGGAGTAGACAATAGCGATCTGTCTAAGGTTCGTTAACTGCCTTTCGCTAAGCAGACTTATCGAATGTCACGTGTATCGGATTCGTTGAGTTATCGGAAAAGCTCAGAATAGATTCCCTATTCTTCAAGATGTTGTCTGGTTTATAGAGTTTTTAACGTCTCGTTCGGATATTTCATAGGATATGGCGATCGACGTAATTTGGAATATACGCGCTTCTAAAGACAGCCGATTAATTCATATAATTTCTTATACCAATTCGAACTTACTCTTTATACCATTAAATATTGACGGTCGAGCGGTCAAGGTGGTAGCCTACCGCTCTGGGCACCCGGAATCAGATCAGGACTGGTCGAAAAATCCCCAGGAATTTTTGGGGGGTGATCCGACCGGATATGTCGGTTCTCTCCTTCACCATTCAGCTGCCCCATTATGGACCTAGCAGAACCCATAATTAGTTTGCTAAAAGAGGCCTCTTAGAGTCTACAGGGCGGAAAGAGCAAAGAAGAAGAAGAAGAAGAAGAAAACAGTAAATACTGCACTGGATAGCGCGCGAATGGTCGAGTGGTTAAAATGATAGACTACTGCCCAGAGAACACGGGATCGATTCGGAAGAGTCGAGAAATATCGGGAATTTTTCGGGGGCAGTCGTACATCCAGATATGTCGGGTTTCGTCTATTACCGCATGCCCCGTCGTGGGCCTCCTCGAACCGGAAAAGGACCTCTTAGTGGCCATAATTCGGAAAGAGTTAAAAATATATGGCCTGTATATTGTAGTGATGAACGGAGTTATTAAAAAAAACACTTTCGGTACCCATTAAATGGAATTTTGACATCAATCAATTCAATGTTAATTGGTGAATAAAGAACAAAATTAATAATTTGTTTTTATCTAGATTTGAGATTTAGACAATTAGATAAGTGATATAAATCTAGATTGTTTCATCTCGAATTTAGCTATTTTCTAGATCTTATTTAATCTTTATAAAAAAGGTAAGATGAGAGTTTAAAGTTGTAAGTGTAGTACTTAACCATTAATATAATAATATTTTTATAATATAAGTACTTGCCAGGTATGAAGGACTTTACTCTCATTTATATAATTGTTTATTTATAGTGTACTCAGGTCAGTCAGATCCATATTATACTAAGTACATTGTTGACTTTTTTCGGACAGTGTTTTTTTTTTCAGAATATAAGTAGTGTTCTTGTGTTTTTATTATAGTTATTATTTGTTTGTGAAAATTTTGGTTTTAACTTGTGAAACCAAATATTTACAATATTTGTCATATCGCTCAAAAATTTTTTTAATTCCGACTTCAAAGAAACCTGCCGCCTGCCGCCGGAAGACATTAGGCCACGCCGCTTGTCTTGTATGGCACGGCGGAATTTTCTAAATCACACAATAAGCATCAGAATTGATTGTTGTGCGTCTTGGCATAAAATCCACTAACAAAGTCCCTTTCCTGTCCCAAAAGAAAATGATCTTTCATGCTGAAATCGAATAACAGATCGTATCTTACAGTCGGCGGGCGACTCGATTTTCTTAAACATTATAAACTTCTATAGTTCAGCATACAGACAGACGATACGGCTGCAAATAGCATCTAAACACGCGCAAAGCATGCTGAATGCAGATGCTCATGCACACTGCTGCAATCGCGCGTCATTCTCACTCTCATTCACAAACGGACCTTATTTAAAAAATAGCCCTCCTACATCATTAGGATGTGTACAAATTGGGCACTATATGCATTATTCTGGAATAAAAGTATATTGACATGAGCAAACCTTTTGTTCGTTATGTTGTAGACAATAACATGACGAACACTGAAGCTGTGAGTCTAAAGAGGGATTGGAAAGTATCAATTCGAAATGCATTGTTAAATAAGTTAAATAAAGTGAACTGTTTTAATTTTGGTCTCTGTTAATTATGCCTAATTAAGAAAGACGTGATAGATATTACTAGTCTCACTATTGGAAGAATAAACCCCTCTCGAGATATGACACATGACAACTTTCTATCTCCTCGTCTCTTTAATATTGATGGCAGGTGGCCAAGTGGTCACGGTGGTAGCCTACCGCTCTGGACCCGGAATCGAATCCATACATATGCCATATCTGGTCGGGCCATCTCCCGAAAAATTCCCAGGAATTTTTCGGGAGATGGCCCGACCAGATATGGCACCAGTCGACCGCCCCACTGTGAGCTTGGCTGAACCCATGATGGGCTTGCTAAAAGAGGCCCTCTTAGTGTCCACAGGGCAGAAAGATCAAAAAACACGTTATACTATTAAGGTGCTAAGATACCTTTTTTTTCCTTACTATTTCTGGGGCCGACATATCTGGTCAGGCTACTCCCGAAAAATTCCTGGAGCTTTTTCGAGCCGTCTGTATTCGATCTCAGTGGTAGGCTGTTACCTTAACCGCTCGGCCATCCGGCCAGAGCTGTGATGCTGTTAAATAATAATGAGCATCAATGCTCCTTATACACAAAATATCATGCCAAATTTCGTTTCTTAGACGCCAACACATACAAACATGGAATATTTTCTTCTTTTTGGAAGGTTTAAGAAGTCTCAAAACGTGGAGATTTTTTAAAAACTCTGAAAGTCAAATTTGACACGATTCCAATGTTTTCCCTTTCTTTTCTTTCTTTCTTTTCTTGTTATATATATGTAACAGCCGGGAAAATAAAATTAAGAATGTTTAGAAATGCATTTAACTTGTCGCTACAGAATATTTTGTCTTGTTTAGAAACGTTTAAATAAAGGGGTAAAAAATAAGTGTCTTCTTATTTACTTTCAAAATTAAAAAAAAAAAAAAAAGTAGGATCATTTTGTCTTGCGCCATCTTAGTTAAGAGTTAAAACTCTTTCTTTCCTTTCCACACTTTTACACGAAGAATCGTAAATATCGCCAGTTTATAATTGGACTGCATTAATTAATGGAATTATAATCCACATGTATCTGTGCTTGATGATAATAGATATTGCTTTATTACTAATAGCTAATTCGGGTGTTTGCTCTAGAGCAGTGGTCCCCAACCCCCGGGCCGCGGACCGGTACCGGTCCATGGATCAAATGGTACCAGAACGCCCGAGAAACATTAAATTACTGGTATTTCCATTTTATTTACTATGGTGTATTTCTCTCAGATTTGTGCGACTTTTAATGGACGACGGAACAACGGAAAAAACTGGAGATATGAAACACACTTTGAGTGATAAATTATTGTCTCCTATTACTCCCAGATGGAACTGTCTTGTTGCAAAGAAACAAGCTCAGGGTTCTCATTGATTTAGTGTTCTAGTGAGTTAAAACATTAAATCACATTATATTTATTTTTGGTGTAACTATATTTTATTTTGAAGGCATGTTTAAATATAATTAAATCAATCTAAAATATAAACAATCAACATCCTCCCTCAGTAGCCCGCGGTAAAATATCAAACGTTGACCGGTCCGCGGCGATAAAAAGGTTGGGGACCGCTGCTCTAGAGTATTCATGGAGTGCTCTGCTTGCTTTGACACTCAGTTTGACTGGTCAGAGTAGAACAGCAAAGTATTCTACTCTTTCTTTGAATCGTTGAGAGTAATTGCACTCGTAGTACTTTTTCTCTTATGGCCGAAAAACAAAAGTAGCCACTGCTCTAAATATGACGTCGCTCATCGAAAAATGTATAAAACTCTTGTGTTGCTATTATTAGATTTTCTGAATTCATCTGAAGAATCATCATCGAATGACGAGAAAGACATTGTTGATTTATTGCAATAACTCAACAATGATATTATTATTAATATAGTTTATAAATATTTGCTAATAAATTTATAAATTTAAATAATGCCTCACTCTAGTGCCAAATTCATTTCTAATCTATAATCATTTATCCAAAATTTAGTCCGATCTTTTACGGCAGTTGTAGGTGTATTTGCGTAATATAGTTTGTATAGATTATAACAATGATCCAAACTCATCGATGTATTATTTATAGTCTTGTCGGCGTCAGAGATTAAAAGATTTAACGACCATTAATTACCTATCATAATTTTCATTGGTTCTAATTGATTCCATTTTTTTAAATCAATAAAATTGTTAAGAAAAATAAATTATAACAATGACACGTAAAATACTCGCATGATTAATTTAATTACGACAGTTGGTAATAAAAATACAATCACAAAGAAAGTTTAACACGTGGTAAACTGACCTTAATTATATTCAGAAAAAAAGATTTAATCTTAATTTTTGGAAGATTTTAAATCACGATAATAAGATAAATCGTAAATTCCAAAGAAACGAATTTTTCTGTACAATATGAAAATGTATATTATGCATTTTTTAATTATTAAAAAATAGATTATAACTAATTTATTTTTAATATAATTTTATGTAATTTATTAAAATTTAATAAATGTCTACTTTAAATCATAACTTTGCTTGCATCTAGTTAAACTGACATAAAAAATGACAAATGCCTAAATTTTGTTTATTGTCTTCAGATCCGTCGTATAAAACACGTCTCGCTAAATCGGCTAGAAGGACATTTCCCTGTTACGTCATTCTGAAGGATCCAGGTTATTAGACAACTATTTCAAAAGAAATCCATTTCTTGTTTACAATTGGATAATACGATCAGCTGATTTCACGTCGTAAATGACGTAGAAATTAGTTGTCGGTTTCAACATCCACATTGACGGAGGTATCGCACGTAAGATAGACACGATTCATCCTATACGTTTATAGATTTTTTTTATTATTAATATAATTAATTTCGATCTACTTAAATTGATCTTTCTATTAAATAAGTAATGTCAATCAATGTTTTATATATATATTTTAGATAAATGATGCTATCCTTTTCCTATATCTTGAATGAAATCATGTCAAGATTATATATAGCAGTTGCTACTGCAGTGGCTGGTTTTGCTGTTTATTGTAACCTACCTGCTACCTGGTTACTTCCTGCAGAAAAAGCTACTTTGGAATATTTATCAGGTGCAAAACTTCAGAAATTAGATGGATCTAAACAAACCTTTTCGGTTAGTATAAGATTATATAATCTTGAAAGTTCTGCATTAACAATAGTTTCTTGATTTTAAAATTTATGTTTTTGTTTATTATTAGTCATCTGAACTGTGGAAAGATAATGGAGCAGTTATCATGGTAGTTCGAAGACCGGGATGCTTCTTCTGTAGAGAGGTATTATGGCGTAGAAAAATATAGATATTTTTCAGTTATTGAGTATTATATAACATACATTGGATTAATTGTATATATTGTGTATATTTGTGCTCTTGATGTTATATTCTGGATTAATCTTTCTCCATTGTAGAACTATTATATAAGAGATTTATATAATTTATTAATCTCTTTTTAAGAAAAATGGATTGATTGAACAGAATAAAATAGTAAGAAGATTTGCTGTTCTAATCTTTTTCTGATTCATATGATTTTAATAATCTAGCAGGTTTATTATTAATAACTAAGAATCAATATTTTTTACATAATAAATAAGTATCTTAAAATATAGCTCAAAATTATTTGGAATGTATTTGATAATAAACTTGGGCTTATATTACCTATAATATATTACCTAATTCTTAAAATGATAATCAAAAGTATAATTTGTTTGACTAAATAGGGGAGACCAAGGCAAGTTGATATGTTTTTTGGTTTTCAAGTTTTGTAATTTGTATTTGTGGTAATTAGTCAATTATAAATACATTGCAATGTATTGGTTCTTCCTCTGTATATACTGTATTACGAGTGAAAATCTGAAAAAATATAATAAGCTGTGAATAAAAAAATGTTAACTGAAATAACTCAAAGTATACTAACTAAAACTATCCCACTAGGCAAGTTGATATATCTGTGATGCATGCTGGTGTGAACTCTTAATAACTTGACATATTAATGTGACACTGAATAGAAAACTGTTATCAGTCAAAACATATTATTTTAGTTTTGTTGATCTACATAGGAAAATTAATAGTTGAAACATAGAACATTTTTTATTTGGATCTTGGATACTTGGTCTTATTATTTCAATTTCTACATGAAACACTAAAGAATTAATCACTTTCACTGTTACAGCAAGACTAACTCTGAGTAGTAATTAATGCAGACATAATAAACAGTTGAGACTGGCATTTAAACATTGAACTGTTTGAATGCCAGTTTTATCTATATTCCAGATATCTTTGTTAGAAAATCCATTTTTGTGTATAGAAGTTCTTATAAATTTAGCATCAACCTTGGTCTTGTTAAAACTTCTGTATGACCCAAACTGGATGATTCAAGAGACCTTAAGGAGAGTGTAAGGTATATTTTCATGTAACCACTAAACCACTCAGCTAATACAATTTTATAATTCTTCAAAATGGTCAGAACCAGAACACAGTTGGCAACAGCAAATTTTATGACAGACTTCAGACATTTTTAGGAGTTAAGCCATAATAGATTTTTTGAAGAATGAAGAATTTATTCCTTTATTTGACATTCTAAATTGTTGTTTAGGATTTGACAATATTTGAGTAATCTGTTCTTTCTTCAAATGCATACTTTTTGTTAATAAATTTTAGCAAAGCCATTTTATCAATATTGTACAAATTTGCAGTTTGTCTCAACGACAATGAACCTTTTTTCAGTACAGCATAAGCTTTTCCAAACACATGTTATGAGATTTCACCTCATCTTGTTTTTATTTTTTTTTTTTTTATAATTCCTGACCATTTTGTGTGTAAAGAAATATAGAAAATTCAGTTAAAAATAACCTGTAGCATGATCCATTATATCAATGTGCCCCAAAGAAAACATGTCAACTTACCCCATATGATACTATTTTATTGTGAAAAAGCAATTTCACAAAGAAAAGTGAAATATATAAACAGTCTAAAACCGTATAGTTGCCTTACTTTTAATTGCATTAACATAAAATTAAGCTAATTTTTGTTTGTAGAATTTCGTCGGATGATAATTTTAATTTTATCAAAAAAGACACAGTCTGCCCAAAATTCTTTTTGAAACCAATTTTTATTTTATTGTTTTAATTGGATATTTTTGTGTGTTTTTTAAAGAACATTTTAACCTGATGACATAGTAGCCTCCAAAGAAAGGTCAAGTCGTCGAAGGTGTTCCGGAACACATAATTAGAATAAATGGTTGGTTTCAAAAAGAATTTTGGACAGACTGTGTCTTTTTTGATAAAATTAAGCTAATTCAGAAAAGTTTCATACAGCATCTCCAAACAACTTCAACAACCAACATAAAAATTTGCTTTTCACTATAGAAAATTGAAATAATTTAATAACTTCTGATAATTCATAAGCTTGCACATATGCTCACAGCTGTATTGAAGACTTCAGCAAGTAAATACACAGTTTGACCAAAATGCCTCAATGCCTTTTTCAAAATGCAGAAAGCAGAGTGAGACTCATTCAATAGACAGGAATAGCTCAGCCATCCCTGTCTATTGAATGATGAAATTCTGTTTGTAAATTTAAGTAAAAAATATAAACAATGAATTTTTAACATCTAAATTTTGAATATTTTTTTCTATTTTGTACATACATTATTTAATAGTACTATATTAAACTATGTTTCAAAAGTTTTCTGATGGTGAGCCCAGGACTTTTTTTTTTTTCTGTGCCTCCAGATCCTCCCAGTAAGCACATCCATTATGTACTAGAACCATCCCTATTGTATTTGGTCTAGTTATGTCCTCCCTCATTCTGGTCAAGCTGTGCATATACAGTGCTAAATAAATGTCTCTGTATCAAGCTGTTCCTGTAACAACTTGTGCTGGTCTTCCCTATGTACTGAATAGTGCTTGAATGATATTGTTTTCTATTTATTAAAATCATTCTGTTATTAATTAAAGCGAACAGTTTTACTTTATTTTTATTATCATTAAAGATCATAAAGTAAAATCTACAGGTACATTTAATCATCTAAAGCAGTGTTTTTCAACTGCTGGTCCACAAAAAAATCTTACTGGTCCACAGAAAAATATTTGACTGTACTGAAGCTGACACAGTTGATTACGGATGATATTTAAATAAAAATTTAGTGTTACTGTACGTGCTTTGTTACTTACAGTAACTCTAGATAAGCATATATAAACTTTATAAATAAGCATAATTTAAAATTGCATATAATTACTTGGTCCATATAAAATCATCCATAATTTTACCAGTCTGTGACAAGAAAAAGGTTGAAAAACACTGATCTAAAGTATCTGATCTAAAAGAGTTGTTGAAAGTATTTGGATTTTCTTTGTCATTTGTCTATTATCATTCTTTGGCTTGCTGTCATAACAATTGGAAGATTGGCAATATAATGTCTTCAACAAACTGTCAAGTATATAATACTTTTCTAATCTCTAATTTTTCTTAAAAAAAGATGAAAATATATACATCTAACAAATACATATTTTAAATTAAGATGAATAGTTATTTATTAATGAATTGACAAAAAATTTCTTTAATCAAGGAAGCTGCCAAAATATCTACCCTGCATCCAGAGTTAAAAGACATGGGCATTCCACTTTATGCTGTGGTACATGAAGAACTTGGAGTAAAGAAATTTCAGCCATATTTCAAAGGAGAAGTATTTTTGGATATAAATGTAAGTAAGCAGATTTTCATAAAATTAGATCCTTTAATAAAAAGTTGTCTAATTCTTAAGTTTTTTAATATATTTTTTTTATTTTTATGGGAAGAACTATTAAGTTAAAATCTTTAAAGTTAATAAATTCTAATAAAAAATAAATAAGAGTAAAGTTGTTTCTTGAATTAAATATATCCTGTTAAAATTGGTATAGATAAGGCTCTGATTAAATAAAATAAAATTCGACTTACATAAGCCTGTAACCGATGTGAAACGGCAAAAAATTCTAACGCACAAACGTTTTCTGAACACCTTTCCTGAAGGTGTTCAGAAAACGTTTGTGCGTTAGAATTTTTTGCCATTTCACATCGGTTACAGGCTTATGTAAGTCGAATTTTATTTTATTATATCACCGGTGTGCCTGTTGGAGTTATATATTGCTCTGATTAAACGATTATATCTTAAAAGAATTTTGAAAAGTTAATAAATTTCAAAAATTTATTATTGTATTTTCTATTATTTGTTCATATAGTTGTTAAGAATATACATTGCTCTTCTAAGAAAAGTACTGCTGATATGCATATATGGTGATTCAACATAAAACATTGTTTTTACTAAGCAGCTACCAGTACTGCATACCAAATACTGATATTTTTTCACACTATCTATCAATATGACATATTGATTCATTCTGGCTGAAAAATAGACCATGAGAAATGTATATATTATTGACCCTAAAAATATTATTATAAATATATTATACAGTAACTGTATAATATATACATTTTTCCCTCATTTCCAAAATGTTGCTGAAGTTCATACAAGGTGCTAAGCAGTGGCTTGCACCTTGTATAATTGTGAAGCTGTTATACAAGGAAATGTGGAAGCCATGGAAACTGTGGAAGCACTGCTTTCCTTGTATTTTCTAAAATATAAATACATATCGTGCGATTATTTTCATATTTTAATGTACTTTGAATTAATTAAAATTAATATTTTATTATAACCACATTATGTATCCTATTACAAATTTCTGTACTACATGTGAAAAACAACGATAAGATTGTTATTGTATATTCAAATATAATTTGTGTATGCATATTCCCAATGGAAGCACTGTATTGTTGAATACAAGCTTCCTTGGCAAAAATATTTGAATCGTGTAAAGCAGCCAGATTCCCATTCATGCATGTGCTTTACAGAGCACCAACTCACATGGTTTAGCTGGTGGATGCTACACACCAAAATATCATATAACGCTTCCAATGATTCTATCCAGGGCCAGCACTATCATCCCTATTATCAAATGTCACTGCATGCCACTGGTGCTAAGAAAGCATTTGGCATTTATAAGATAGATAGTACATTAGTTAAAACCTTAGTAAATAGGTCAAAACTCAACTGTTTTTAAAATAAATAACCTAACAAAGACTTGAAAATTTTGAGAAAGTTTGTGACTCTAAGAAGATGCCAAGTATGCATGGAAATAGGACGAGGCCATGTAGAACCCCTGTAAATGTTGACATAAAGATTTGGCAAGATTATTCTCTCTTTTCATGTTGCAAATGATATATAGAAGCCAATAAGTCAATCTTGATACTAACATAACAAAATTATTAATATCTCAGGTCAAAAACTCAACAGTTTCTATGTTATTTACTAAGGATGTTTTTACTCATTAATGGTTAATAATTTTTACTATCTGCCATATAAGTGCTGAATGTTTTTCTTTTCATCCTGTGTATGTATTATGAGCACACAAATGTTTAAATTAGTATACATGTTGTAGCCATATGCTGAAGTTTGCTATTTCAAGAGTTATGTAGTTATTTATTGAAGCACTCGCACATCCTCTAATATATACAGTATTTGTTTTAGAAACTTGATTTTTCTGGTCACATCTTGAAATGCTAACCTGATTTGTGGCAGAAACCAGGTTAGTATTATTTCAAGATCTAGGATGAACATAACCAGAAACTTTCTGGTTATGTTTATCCTAGATATGTTGGGCTTTGTCTCTCACCAGCTAGGGACAGGGCCCAACATATCTAGGATGAACAGGAATTTGCCTACTACAATATACAGAAATGCAAAAACATTCAGTTTTCATGCCATTGATAATAAGCCATTAGATATTATAAGAAATATCCAATTTTATCAGACAAATGCTGAAATATACACCTGTTTTAACATTTGCATAAGCCAAGTTAGATTCAAGAAGAGATCAGAAAAACCAGTCAGATTCTAAAACAAATGTCCTGATATGAAAAAAATCTATTAAATACATTTTATATAATACTAGCATTCCCTGCTGCAGCCTCGCCCGCTCTTATGTACATATAGAACTTTGAAAATTTGAACTAATTGTTCATTAATTATTTGTGGATAATCCACTTTGTATGTGAAAACCCGTTGTAATTTTGAAACTCCGAATAAGATTTTTATTATCCTGCCTCGCAGCTCTTGGCATTATTTATCAATCAATCTCAAAAATATTCATTTGAGATAAATTCAATAACTATTTCAAATATTTTGTACGATTACCTGCAGAAATTAATGCGTAACAATTCGAAAACCCACCATAAGTACACGTACTTCCATCTAGCTGATGACATTACTTTTTTAATTCCTCGAAGATTTTGCTAATTAACTAATTAAAATTTAATGTCAGTTCTTCAAATAGAATAGCAAACTTCAATAATAGACTTTTCTTATAGACAGAAAGTATTAATTTGTGTGTTGCCATCTAGTGAAGAGAGAGAGAAATACAGACAAAAATCCAGTGCAGTTTTATTTAATTAATAAAAAATCTGTAGGTTTGATTAGTGGTAAACATTCCGGGGATCATAAAGATGCTACAGTTAAAATTTGGTAACGATTGGTTCAGTAGTTTTCACGGTTAGTGGTCACAAACGAAAAATACGTTCTCTCTTTATATAGTAGTATAGATAAATACAGTATTTATTCTTTGCCCAAGGCCTATTATTTTCCTTTATTTGTTTATATCATTTAATTATTCAGATTCTGAAATTTATTTCAGAATCTGAATAATATACACAGGATATGCTATGCCTTACTAAATGCTAGGTACTTCTTGAAATGGTAAATTTCAGCATGTGGCTATGACATATATAAATATTAAAGTGAAAAGAAAACATAGGACATAATTTAATGAATGAAATTAGAAGAGCTAATCCCTCAATGCTATTGCATATATCAAAAATACTTAATTAAGTACAGTAGTAACTCTGTACACAACCGAACAATCACCACTTGCTTGAACAAATTTTCCATTAATAACAAATATTTTTATTTTAATAAATGAAAATAGCAAATTCATTGATACTTTATTAGCTGAGTAAAAAACATCTACCTTAACTAAAGATGGCTGTTAAAGTTGCATTAATTAAAACTTCTGCCACATATAAAAAAAGGATTGTCACAATTTATTTCACACCTTACTCAAATCCCATATTAAGCAAGTGATACCTGTATTAACATGTGCAATTGTATTGCATATAGCCTGATAAGCCATATTTGCCATCATAAATGTTTTTAAAAACTACACTTTGAAGTTTGAACAAATAAATTTTATTTTATTTTTTTGTATCAATGGGAAGCCTTTCCCATTGATACAAAAAAGGTGCCAGTGGTTCCCAAAGTTTTGTGACTTGTGTCTTGTCCTTAATCTGCTATCATCTGGTAGTGGCTTTCAATATATATAAATATATATACTGGTGTGTGTATGTGTATATATTTATATTTGGAGGGGTAAACCCAGCTTAGATAATGCTCTTTCTGTTTAAGAGTAATTGATATGTTACTATTATAATTAAATGATATAAACAAATAAAGGAAAATAATAGGCCTTGGGCAAAGAATAAATACTGTATTTAAATTATATAAAATGTATTTAATACATTTTTTTCATATTAGGTGGTTTTGCTCCCTCAGTCATTCAACCCACACACAGACTTTACTCATTTATTCAAAAATTCTGTAATGATTCATCAATTCTCAATGCTACTGTTTCTATTTATTTTATTTTTGATAAGAAAACTGTTGTGATGATTTTAAGCTAAGTATTTTATATATTATGAGTATAGCAAGATAAGCAGCTAATTCTAGATTTTTCAGTTTTTCAATAATAGACATGTTCAATTTGGGACTATAAGCAGATATGTAAAATTCCAAATGATTACATAAAATAGCAAAGTTTTGGTTGGTCCAATTTCCAAATCTTGTTTCCTGAAAATTAGTTTTACAAGAACATAGCATAATTTTAAAAAAAGCTTGTATTTGTTAAAAAGTTCCAGTGAGACAGATCTCAAGATACACAATTAGGTAGACATAAAAAACTGCAATATAAAAAGATGTCAAAGCATAACTAATAACTAAAATAGTGGCTAATCTGGCCACAACACAGTTTGAGAACCATTGGTTTAAACCCAAATAGCTCTTCTTTGATCCATCCTTTTTTAGAATCAAAAAATTTTGAATGTAAATTGTGGAAAGACATAAATATCTTAATGATTCATAATAAATCATCCATAAAATGTCTATCTATAGTAAATGATAAAACTTTTTAATTAATGTTACATCATTGCAGTGGAGTGCTGTCATTGAAAGCGGTGGAAGTGCAGCTTCCCTTGTATTTTCTAAAAAATAAATACATATTGAGAGATTATTTTCATATAATTTGTTGGGTGGTCCCCAACTAGCTGATATAATAATTAATTGATTGACATGATAATCAATATTATATAAAAACATTTATTCAGAGATAACAATGACTAACTCCAATTTAAATTTTACTTGGGATATAAGCAGTCAAACGAAATGTGGAGCGTAGCTACATGCGGCCAGGAGGTAAGACAGGTAGTCCAGAAGTATCTCCGGTCTTTCAATCTTCCTACGTTACTGCTCCAGCCCTTTTACCGCTTTACAGAAAGTGGTCCGCGACTAATATATACACATGAAATAGCTTGCGACTGTTACGGCTTAACAAGAAGTAGATC